AGCCGCGGCGGGCTCCGAGGTGCTGCGGGGCAGGAGGGGTGTGAAAGCCTGCGCCCGTCCGACACCGCCGTGCGTCGCGTCAGCCCCGCCCTGGCCAGAGGACGCCGCCGGGGCCACCCCGGGGACGGCCCACGGGGCACGGGGCAGAGGCACCCACGGCAAAACGTTCCCCGCTTCCAGGGGCAGAGCCCGTTTGCTCATGAGTTATTACAGACATCACCCAAACAACGAGGCTTTGTACGTTCCTCATAAAAGTCATCCTCGGATCCTTTACCGGGCACCCGCGGCCGCAGCCTCAGCGGCGCGTTCGGCAGCAGCGGGGCCCGCGGGGAGGCCGGCCACCCCTCCGCAGGTTCAGCGGCTGCGATGATTTCAGTCGGCGCAGCCCTGGGTACTGTTCCGCCCTGCGAATTCACCCCGGTCAGATCATACGCTTCCCCCTCCCGCCTCTGTACCTGGGAGCTGCCCACCAGGGCCGGCTCGGCAGCACGGAGCAGCTTTCAGACCCCCTCCTCCCGCCTGTTACCCTCACTTGGGCAATTCTGGTCTCTTCCCGAGCCACAAGGCACGGAGGGAGCAGAAACCGGCTGCAGCTCCCTTGCTGGACTCTCTCCGGCATGGGAAAGCGTCGGTGGGTGGGAGAGCGGGAACAGCCACTCCTACGGCTCCCGTCCAAAGCCGTAAATGCAAAGACAGGGAGACGACAGGGACCAAGACGCGAGGTGTGCGGAGGACGGCACGCTGTGGCTATCCCCACCTGGTACCCAGCCCGCCGAGGCCAGCTGCCAGGCGACGCAGACCAGCCCAGGGGCTGCTCTTAGATGCCAGCACTCACAACCAACAAGTCCTAACTGATTCCCTGGCAGCCCCGCTTTCCCCACGGTGCTCCACACCAGAGGAGAGCAGATGAAAAAGAAGTTAATTGTACTGTCTAGGGCACAGACCTTTAATGCTTTTAATGAAGAAAAATCTTTTAATTCTTCACTTAGGCCCACTTTCCTGTCACTCTAAGGCTTCCCTCGGTTCATGTTGCCCCTGGCCATACAAACCATGGAGTTCCAGCCACCTGGCCTGCAGCCTCAGGACCTCTGAAGAGTTCTCCTCTTTTGGCAATTTCCTAAATTAATTACCAACTCCTTTTACTGGGTTCTTTTGACGCTCGGCAGGGTATCCTAGAAGGATAGGGTTCCTATTCCCCTGAAGGATCTTTTGAAAGCTTGGATACCCTAGAAAAAAGCGTTAACGTGTGATCTGTAACAAATTCATCAAAGTAGGAGGCTACGATTACCTAGGAAATGTCAGACAACTATCGAGAACTTCTGGAAAATTAGTGGACAGCAGCTTCTCTGCCATTTTGTTTTGAATACAAGGAAACAGGCTACTTATAAGAAACAAAGTCACTTCTTACTGTCCCTGCTCAGAAAGAAAGCTCACGTCTTGCCACCCAAATGGCTTCAACATGGACTTTCTCTGCAACGCAGGACTGGAGACTGTAGCTTCTGCTTTGTCACTCTTCCCTTCCACGGGCGTTTGCGTGCACTCTGGCTCTCCCTCCTTTTCTTTCTTTCGCTGAGCCACAGCAGGGGTGCTCTGACCTCCAGTTTGCTCTGGAAAATTTTCAGTCCGGTCGGGGAAGGTATTTCGCTCATGTTGTCCCACCGGCTGGAGGCAGCGGTGCCAATCTCCAGGTGTCGTCTCTGCAGCACTCGGTAGGGCAAAGAGCAACATGTAGATAAAGAGGGATTGAGCAAAGGCCAAGCATGCTAGGTCAGAGGTGAGCAGAAAAATCAGCAGAAGACCAACAAATCCCCGAGCATCGCCATGTCACATGGGAGCAAGGGGCGAGGGAGCACTTAGGGAGGGGAAGGACTCTGGTCTGGAACAAAAGAACAGAAGGAGGCCAGGAGACATGGCCTGCAACCGCCTGGGGAGCTCCCTGCCACTGGGGACTGCAAGGCAGAGTATCGCAGCTGCGGTTTCAGAAGAGAGGAAAGCATGTGGCAATCGGTTTTTATGTTAAAATGAGGCACAGTCTCGAGCCTGGCCTAAGAGCTGGGGGGAGACGGAAGGAGAGCCAACCTCTCTCCGAGTTGAGACATTGTCCTTGTCTGACATTTCACAAGCGCTGTTTTTTACAGCGGAGAAAGGCAAGTGGAAAGCAATAGATTGAAATCTGGCCTCTGCCAGGTACAACTTATGAGCTGTTGTTGGCGCAAGGTGTGCGGCTGTATAAAGAGGGACCTGGGGCTAGGAAGAAGAAAAAACAGAGCGCACAACATGCGCAGAAATGAATTTCAATTTTACTTCTCCATTTTGCAGCCTTTATTGCAACATTGCTCCACTTCAGTCAGTCTTTCAGGCAAGGTCCCCTCCTACCCCCCAGAGACCTTCCCACACCACCGCTGTGCTCTCTCCCAGCCTGCCCGCATGCACGGAGACTGCTCTGCTCGGGAACCCCTCACATTCCCCTCTTTAGCTCACCTCCAACATACTGCCTACTGACAGCGTCTTGTTCGTTGATGCAACTGTCATCTTTCGGCATTAACTTCTTTCCTCTTCGCCCCTCTTCTGCCCCTCTGTCTTGTTTTGGGCTGCAGGTCTAGGGGTGAGCAGCTGTGTTCACACAGGGTTTAGCGTGACGCAGCTCTGATCTCACTGATCGCTAAGAGCTACTGCAAGGCAAATAATACATGAGGCAAGCCTGCAGCAAGGAGCATCAGAAATTACAGACAGCCTTTTTCTAGAGTATGATCCTCTGTCCACAGACCTCCGTACAAACACTTCAGTGTTTGAGCTGTCACCATTAAACTAATGGCATCTCCCCAAAGCTGTCCTTCCAGGGACAGCTGCTGTAGACCTGGAGCGCATGAACTGGAGAGCTTGCAAGAAATCCTGGAAAAGACGACAATTTCCAGGAAGAAAATGCCTCTGCAATGGTTTATTGTAGGTCTGAGCCTGGAGCTGGAAAGTTGTGGCTTCCACAGTACAAAAGGCAAACTGGAGAGTAGAATTTAATTAATGACAGAAATGAGCAGTGAGGATGAGATTCTTCCCTCCGCCTTTTCACCATTCTAGTATCCTTCCGTTACCCTCCCAGTATCTATATTGTTTCACACATGAACGTAGAGCAATCTGGATTCTATTGCATCAGAATTTTTTTTTCTGCTCAAAAATGTTGATGTTCCTACTAAGTAGTTTGTGAGTTATGCTGTCTCCTCAGCTGACTAGTTCTGAAAAAAAGAAAACATGAAATCACTAGAAAGAAGGTGCTTTTCACAGAAGTGCTGCCTTTCTGCTGAGCATTGCTCTGTTGGGAGCCGTGCTGCGGAAGGGCTGCTGCCCTCCGGTTTTTCACAGAGTGAGATCAGTGCCCGGATCCCTTCACCAGGAATGTCTGCATCTCTTTCCCTATCTAAAGCATCTCTCTGAGGAGGTTTTCCAGGACGATTATTAGCAGCCTCTGCACATCTGGCCCAGCCAAGCCAGGGACAGCTCGGTGTGCCCAGACCTCCACCCAAGCCTCTGCGGTGCGAGCCTCGCTCTGCACCTGTACCCATTTCAAAAACTCCATTTCTGGCCATGCATTTGTTATGACAAGTGCAGAAACAATTTAAAAGAGACCAGAGTTAGCTCAAAACCTGCTTGCCGAATGCTAGGGGTTTGGATAAGTGGTTAGTCCCGCCAACAAGGTTCCCATGAGAAGCTGAGAACGGCCGTCGGCTCCACGAGAGTGGATGTTGGGATTTGAGGTGAGCTGGAGGAAGTTTAAAGAGATCCAGGTACAGCAGGGAGGTGAGGGGGCAGAAGAGAAGGAGAGGACAAGCTGGGCATCCAACCTCAATTACCACCCTGGCTGACGTGTGATCTCTGTGACTCCGGCATTACTCAGCGCTGGCCTGGAAAGGAGGTGTGGGCCACACCATCCCTGATAGAATCTCTTTCACATGACAGACGCACAGACCTTATTTTGTTAGGGAAGATCGGCCCGGGCAGAGTACAACGTTCTGCTGCAGAGCAGCAGAGAATAGGGCAGAAATTTGAAGAGGGCAAATTTAGATCTCCAAAAATATCTTGAAAAATTGCCCAGGAAATTTACCAACCAGTTTTAGCGTTCGATTGTAGCCAACGGCCGTGGCAAGCTGGAGACCTGTTGGGGTCATGCCAAGAAAGACCTAGCATGCATTTCAGCAGGCCGCCACGGCAGGAGACCTTCTGCTTGTGGGTCCCGGAGGGGTTTTGGAGGTAGGAAGCACATGAGACCGGTTTTCAAGAGTTCAGTTGCGAGGGCCAGTTAGGGCAGCCGCTGGACGTAACTGCCAGATCAGAATGCAGGATAAAGATGCAGAACGAGGGAGTAAACAGCCAGAAGAACAAGCCCTGGCTCACTGCAACTTGCCAGTATTTGCACCCAATACAGATGTTTGTATTTATGAAGGTATGGGCTCCAACTACAACCTCCAGACCCAGCTCTCTGGCCAGGCCCAGCTCCAATTTAATCTCTGGTGCACTCACCAAAGATTAACTTGGTAGATAAAGATGGAACTAGAAATATTTGAAGCCTGAAAACCTGTTAGGGTACTTTTGTTATGGAAAGAAAAAAATTCTTTTAAAACGTGAAAAGAAAAAGCGAACGACAAAAATAAAAGAAAGAAAAAGTCCGATGGTCCACTGACCGATTCTTGAATTCTTCCTCTTTTCGAAGTTCTGAGGTTTGAACATTATGAACAGTTGACTGTTTGAATCGTATAATGCAATACCTGTTCCTCTGGCTTAACGTTACAGTATTTCCCACACCGCAGGATTGCTTCACATTATTCTAAGAGGCAGTGTCATTTTCCCTGCAGTGCTAGGTCTTCTTTACTGAGGTGAAGGACACTCCTACTTCCTTTAATTATATGTTTTGTTTTAAATTAATGTCCTTTATTCTGCGGATGAATCACCAGCTTGTAGACAGGTAAATGTGGGAGTAAGAGAGTGAAAATATAAGTTTGATTCCCAAGGTGGGTGTCTTTAATTAAAACGGACATCAAGATTCAGTCTTCCTTCCCAAACTTACCCCGCGATTCCAAAACCATTCGGATTCCATGTTTCTCTGCACGTATCCCCTTTTCCTCCCGAATCGCGCTGCACCGGTTTCAGCGCACAGACTCCTACCGCTCGCGTCCCCTGACAGCGGCACCATGTCACGTCGACAATACACCGAGATAAACCTGAAGGCCACCGTCCCTGCACGAAGAGACGGGGAGGGGAGCGCGGGTTTGCTCGGCCCTGGCCGCTGGCAGCCACGAAGCCGGGAGCAGCGCCGTGCCCTGCTCCAACGCCGCCGCTCCGCTCCCTGCCCGCCGCGGGGAAGCGGCTCCGTGCGCGGCCGCCCGGGCGCTCCCGCCCGCCCCTGGGCTCTCCGTAGCCAGGCACTGGACGGAGAATAACGGGATCTGTCTTTCATTTGCAGCTTTTCCCCTGCCTTGGCAAAGGGACTTGGAAAAATCCCTCCTGCCTTCGTTTCCCCGGGGGCAAAGGGGGAGCCAGGCGGGGTTCGCGCCCCCCTGCGCTGCCCGCCCCCAGCCTCGCCCCAGGTGCGGAGCGCGGAGCCCAGGCCTGAGGGGGGCAGGCAGCGT